CATTCCCTACTAAGAACCAGCCAGTTTTCAGAAGCAGGGTTGGGAATGCAATGAGGCCGGGACAGTGCTGGGTTCTGTCAGAAGGAGTTTTAGATTCCGTTGCCCTTCTAGGTTCGTAAGCCATAGGATCGAGCCTTTATCTGGCCACCCCTAAACCCTAAACCTAAACCCTAAAACCCTAAACCTAAACCATAAACCTAAACCTAAACCCTAAACCCTAACCCTAAACCCTGAGCCGAACCCTAAAGACCCACTGCGCTGCAAGGTGTATGGTCTTTGGGAGCGCGAACAGCCCCAGAAGATTCACCCCCTGGGCAGTGTGGAGGCTTGGACCTCGAAGAGTTGGGTTGGGTTTAGGGTTTAGGGTTTAGGGTTTAGGGCTTCATGCTTGAGTCAAGATGAGGACTTCAGCGGGCCTTGACGAGTTTTGGGTTCAGGACTTAGGATCAAGGCTGAAGGTTCTGAGATGTTCTGAGTTTGGTTTTGGGATGAAGCACCAGGCGTTGAATGCAGAAGTTCAGGTCACAATTGCTGTGTTGTATGATAGGTAGCCTGGCCATGGCGATGGTTGCAATTGAACTTTGTGGAAAAGGGTCTGTGAGGTCCACCAAAGGGTACTGGAGGTTAGGGTACTTCATATAACCCCAATGATAACTGTACCTATAAGCCCCCTAAGTCCCCTAAGTAGGTTATAAAGTAGACTTAAATCCCTAAACCCTGAACCCTAAAACCCTAAACCCTAAACCCTTGTGGTTATAAGACCATGAACATCGCGCTGGGTTCCTAGTCATAGCAGTCCTTGCGCCATCGCGGCCCAAGAATGAGGGCTTCTCAAATGATTATGCAGGGGGCCTCTAAACCTAAACCTGAGCCAGTAATGCTCCATCCAAGCAGTTGACACCTCAAACCTTGTCACACCTATCACCATCACCTATCACCCTATCACCATATCACCCTATACACCTATCACCCTATCACCCTATCACCTATCACCCTATCACCCTATCACCCTATCAATCACCCTATCAGCCTATCAGCCTCACCATATCACCCTATCACCCTATCGGCTGATTTGTCACGCCCGTGGTGAGGCGGGGGGACTGTTGGCTTGGGGGCGGTGCTGGAGGGTCGAGCGCCCGCCTCATGGCCCATCACGCCAGGCTTAGGGTTTGGGGTTTTAGGGTTTAGGGTTTAGGGGTTTGTGAACGGGCCAAGGGTTTATGGGGTTTCAGACTACAAATTGTTGTTTGGGGATGTAGGTCTCAGGGATTCAGGGCTCAGGGCTTTGAGATTTTTGAGATGCTACGAGTTTGTGAGGGTTTTTAAGGTTTGCGGTTTCGAAACCTTGAGTTTTTTTTTGGGTGGGGGGGTGGGGGGGGGCTTTGGGTTGTTGGGGGGTCAGGGGTTTCAGGGTGAGTTCGTGGGGACTTGTGCCACGGGGGTGAGGGTGTTGAACCTTTTCGCAAGGGGGTCGTCCCACAAAGGGGTACCACTTTTCTATCACAAATAGAAGAAGCCCCTCAAGGGGCCCTTAAAAAAAAGGGTACCCCCACCCCCCCCCCCCCCCCCCCCCCCCCCCCACCCCCCTAAACCTAAACCCTAAACCCTAAACCCTAAACCCTAAACCCTAAACCCTAAACCCCCCCTCCCCCCCCCCCCTCAATTTTCGGAAGCCCTCAAAATCACACCCGCTGGGAGCCTTTTTTGGTTCAGCGGCAAGGAAGAGGGACCCTTACCAGGGCATATTGAGGGTTGTTTAGGGGCTACTTAGGTATCCAGGGGCTGTATAAGGGTACATATGGGTTTTTTTTCGGGGAATAAGATCAAGGGTGCCTTCTAGGTCGCTGCTTGCACCCCTTAAGTAAGCCTTAAACCCTAAACCCCAAACCTTAAACCCCAAACCCTAAACCCTAAACCCTAAATCCCAAACCCTAAACCCTAAACCCTCAACCGCCGGCAAGAACTCCTGGCAAGGCATCTTTGGCAGCAGCAGTCCTGCTGTCGCTGTCACGAGCCGGGGCCTCACCTAGGCAACATTGCCCCCCCCCCCCCCCAAAAAAAAAAAAATCAAACAAACAGAAAAAGAACCCAAACCCTAAACCCTAAACCCTAGACCCTAGTCCCTAAACCCTAAACTCTAAACTCTAAACCCTAAACCCTAAACCTAAACCCCAAACCCCAAACCCCAAACCCTAAACCCCAACAACCCTCAACCCTGCGCCAATGTAAGGGACCAGAAATGACTAGGTTCCTATGAGCATTTGAGTCCCACAACTTCCCAGCTCTGAAGAGGGGACGATGAGAACTGTGCACCTTCATCCCCCCTGTAAAAGCCTTGGAAAGAAGTATGCAGAGACCCGCAGCAAGAATCACTCAATGTAGGGTTTAGGGTTTAGGGTTTCGGGTTTAGGGTTTAGGGTTTAGGGTTTAGGGTTCTAACAGCAATCAGGAGCATCGAGCTGGGGGATTCCTTCCCTGCACAGTTGCGCGCAGCTGCCTGCGAGCCAAGGTGGTAGCCCTTGGGGCGGTGCTGCTCCCGCCCCCAGCCGCTGTCTCAGGGTTTTGGAGGGTTTAGGGTTTAGGGTTTAGGGTTTAGGGTTTAGGGGTTGGGAGTTCATGAGCCCGGAGACATGCTGGGCTCGTGTAAAGATTCAGATACCACTCTAGGGCTCTATAAACACTATGGGAAACCGGCATAGTGATCTCTTTCCCCTTCGGTATGCACTGCACAGTTGCACGCAGCTGGCTGCGAGCTTTTCTTCGCAGCCATTTAGGATTTGCATCTCTTGCTTTCAAAAGCGTTCCTTTGAAGTCTTCTGATCCAACGTGAGATCGGCCATGTCGAAAATGCAGCGGCTCGGCGCTGCCGTTCTCATCATTGGGATTGCAGGTGCGTATGTCGCGCCAACGACCGTTGAGGACCTCGCTGTGGCAGCGGTGGAGCAGGAGGAGAGTGAGTGCAATGCGGGTGACGCTGAGTGCAAAGATCTCCACTTGGCGCAGTTGCGTGCGGTGAAGAAGGACGGCCAAGACTCGGAGATCTACCCACATGGCTCGGAACACAATCTCGACTACCTGGGTGCATCGGAACCCGCTCCAACGGGCTGGGACAACGGCGGCTCGAGCCAATGGGGTGGCAATGGCGGCTCGAGCTCATGGGGTGGCAATAATGGCGGGTCGAGCTTCAACCCTGGCTCGAGTGGCGGCTCGAGCTCATGGGCTGGCGGCGGCGGCGGGTCAAGCTTCAACCCCGGCTCGAGTGGCGGCTCGAGCTCATGGGGTGGCGGCGGCGGCGGCGGGTCGAGCTTCAACCCCGGCTCGAGTGGCGGCTCGAGCTCATGGGGTGGCGGCGGTGGCGGGTCGAGCTTCAACCCCGGCTCGAGTGGCGGCTCGAGCTCATGGGGTGGCGGCGGCGGCGGGTCGAGCTTCAACCCCGGCTCGAGTGGCGGCTCGAGCTACAACGGCGGCTCGAGCTCATGGGGTGGCAATAATGGCGGGTCGAGCTTCAACCCCGGCTCGAGTGGCGGCTCGAGCTACAACGGCGGCTCGAGCTCATTGGGTGGCAATGGCGGGTCGAGCTTCAACCCCGGCTCGAGTGGCGGCTCGAGCTACAACGGCGGCTCGAGCTCATGGGGTGGCAATAATGGCGGGTCGAGCTTCAACCCCGGCTCGAGTGGCGGCTCGAGCTACAACGGCGGCTCAAGCTCATGGGGTGGCAATAATGGCGGGTCGAGCTTCAACCCCGGCTCGAGTGGCGGCTCGAGCTCATGGGGTGGCAATGGTGTTGGCGGCTCGAGCCAACACAACCCCACTCCCACAGGAAGGCCGCCCTTCTCCACTACAGGAAGGCCGCCCTACTCCACTACGACCACTACGACTACGACACATCGTCGTTGTAAAAAGGTGGGAAATTATTGCTACTCTAGCAGCGAATGTTGCAATAACGTCTGCTACTATACCATGTTCAACCCTTATCAGATGTCGTGCTGGACGTAAGACACATAAGCTGTTTCTTTGGAGGGATGGCTGTGCCAGTATGCCAAAGTGTTTTGGGTTGTAGGCCGTGTTCATTTCCGACAGAGTTCCTTGTTTCGGTCTGGCATGACATCGGAGTCGGTCTGCACAAGCCCAGATGGCTCTAGAAGTTGAGGGATCCACGGCCCCCTCATATATCGAGGGTTTAGGGTTTAGGGTTTGGGGTTTAGGGTTTGGGGTTTAGGGTTGCCTAAGCACCAAAGTGCATTTGTTCCTTGGGAGAAATGTCAGGGAGGCAGGCTGGATCCTTCAATTCCGGCAGCGGCGCGTATATGAGGGTCCAACCTACATGCCCGGAAAAATCCAGCACAGCCCTGAACAAAAAGGTTCAGAGGTGTCGAAGATGTTATTTCTTCTGTGTGCCTGGTTGCGCACCTCAACCAGCAGGTGTTGCTGAGGGGAAGTTGAAGTTTGGACCCGGCTTTCCATTCGCCGCCAATGCCGTACATGTGCACCACAGCTCCATGTCGCCACATTTGGATCTCCCATAGCCGCAGGAGCTCGCGAAAAAAATCTTGCTTGGGTGTGCGAAGAGGGGCTGGGGGGGGGGGGCGGGGGTGGGGGGGGGGGGGGGGGGGGGGGGGGGGGGGGGGGGGGGGGGGGGGGGGGGGGGGGGGGGGGGGGGGGGGGGGGGGGGGGGGGTGGCTGTCGCCGTCCTGAGCCGAGGGCCTCACCTAGGCAACGCAACCCTGCGCCCAAAAAAGTAGAACCGAAACCCTAAACCACGGAATTCATGAGCCCGGACACATGCTGGGTTCTTGTAAAGGAGTTTCTAGATTCAGGTACCATTCTAGGGCTCCATAAACACTATGGGAAACCAGCATAGTGATCTCATCACCCTTCGGTAGTTACTGCACAGCTGCATGCAGCTGGCTGCGAGCTTTTCTTTGCAGCCATTTAGGATTTGCATCTCTTGCTTTCAAAAGCGTTCCTTTGAAGTCTTCTGGTCCAACGCGAGATCGGCCATGTCGAAAATGCAGAGCCTTGGCGCTGCCTTTCTCATCATTGGGATTGCAGGTGCGTACGTCGCGCCCACGACCGTTGAGGACCTCGCTGCGGCAGCGGTGGAGCGGGAGGAGAGTGAGTGCAATGCGGGTGACGCTGAGTGCAAAGATCTCCACTTGGCGCAGCTGCGTGCGGTGAAGAAGGACGGCCAAGACTCGGAGAACTACCTGCATGGCTCGGAACACAATCTCGACTACCTGGGTGCATCGGAGCCTGCTCCAACGGGCTGGGGCAGTGGCGGTTCGAGCTACAACGGCGGCTCGAGTGGGGGCTCGAGCTACAACGGCGGCTCAAGCTCATGGGATGGCAACGGCGGGTCGAGCTTCAACCCCGGCTCGAGTGGGGGCTCGAGCTACAGCGGCGGCTCGAGCTCATGGGATGGCAACGGCGGGTCCAGCTTCAACCCCGGCTCCAGTGGCGGCTCGGGCGGCGGCGGGTCGAGCTTCAACCCCGGCTCGAGTGGCGGCTCGAGCTCATGGGGTGGCGGCGGCGGGTCGAGCTTCAACCCCGGCTCGAGTGGCGGCTCGAGCTACAACGGCGGCTCAAGCTCATGGGGTGGCAATGGCGGGTCGAGCTTCAACCCCGGCTCGAGTGGGGGCTCCCACTACAACAGCGGCAATCAGGTCGGCGGCTCGAGCCAATGGGGTGGCAGTGGCGGCTCGAGCTACAACGGCGGCAGCCAAGTTGGCGGCTCGAGCCAATTCGACCCTACTCCCACAGGAAGGCCACCCTACTCCACTACGGGAAGGCCACCCTTCAACGGCGGCTCCGGCAAGCCACCCTACGACGGCGGCAACCATGGCGGCTCCGGCAAGCCACCTCATGGTTGTGGGAAGCGGGCAACGCCGTGCAGATCGAACAATGAGTGTTGCAGTAACATATGCAACTATGCATATTACAGCTGGACTCAGACGGTGTGTTGGCAGTGAGACATATAAGATGTTCCTTCTGGAGCGATGGCTGGGAAGCTTGTGCCAGAAGATAGTGTCATTGCTTTTATCTACTCCACTACGACCACTACGACTACGACACGTCGTCGTTGTAAAAAGGTGGGAACTTCGTGCTACTCGCACAGCGACTGTTGCAACAACGTCTGCTACTATACCATGTTCAACCCTTTTCAGATGTCGTGTTGGATGTAAGACGCAGAAGCTGTTTCTTTGGAGGGACGGCTGTGCCAGTATGCCAAAGTGTTTTTTTGTTCATTTCTGGCAGGGAGCAGGTCTGGACAAGCCCAGATGGATCTAGAAGATGAGGGATCCAGGACGGGCCTCATATATCGAATTAGGGTTGAGGCGGTTTAGGGTATAGGGTTAGGGTTTAGGGTATAGGGCTTAGAGTATAGGGTTTAGGGTTTAGGCGGTTGATAGGGTTTAGGGCCTGAGCACCAAAGTGCATTTGTTCCTTGGGAGAAATATCACGTAGGCAGGCTGGATCCTTCTCAATCCCGGCAGCGGCGCGTACATGAGGGTCCAACCTACATGCCCGGAAAAATCCGGCACAGCCCTGAACAAAAAGGTTCAGGGTTTAGGGTTCAGAGGTGTTGAAGATGTTATTTCTTCTGTGTGCCTGGTTGCGCACCTCAACCAGCAGGTGTTGCTGAGGGGGAGTTGAAGTTTGGGCCCGGGTTTCCGTTCCCATGTAGGCGCCGCCTATGCCGTACATGTGCACCACAGCTCCATGTCGCCACATTTGGATCTTCCATAGCCGCAGGAGCTCGCGAAAAAATTCTTGCTTGGGGTGTGCGAAGT